GGCCCCAGAGGCCGCCTCGCCTCCCCTGCCGGTCACTGGTGCCGCCTGGGCCCCAGACACGGAGGGCGGGCGGCCAGGACCGCGCGCACATAAAGCGTGCTTGGTGCACGGTGACGGGTGGAGACAGTGACCGATCAGCACTGTCCAGCTCCCAGCATCGCAGCCGCTCTTCGCTTTTCTTTTCAAAGATCGATGTACGCGGGGCCTCCCTGGGGGCGCCGTGGCCAGAGCTCTGTCCTGAAGCTGCCGCAGCTGCGGGCCAGGGAGTGACCGCAGACCCCTGCTGACCTGCCCCTGCCCCCCTCAGCAGTGGACTTCGTCCCCATCTGTCTCTGGGGAACCCTCTCGCTGCCCCTGCACCTCTGGCCTGCACCCCGGTTCTGTAGGCATCAGTAAATCAATCTTGTAAAAAAAGATGTATGCGTGCATACAAGAGCTGGGTGCAGGGGGTAGGGGGCTCCCCAGAGACAGAGTGGGGAGCAGAACAGGTGGATCCATGAAACCCACAGCTGGCGGGGACAGCAGGGAGCCGGGAGGGGTCTGCTGGGCCCTGGGGTCACTCCCTGGCCGGGGAGCGGCTTGCTCTGCAGTGGCTGCCGTAGCTTCTTCGTGCTGAGACGTAAGCCCCGAGCCCCCAGGGAGCCCTCTGGGGCTCTCTGCTGTCCTGTAAGAGGTGCGTGCGCGCACCTGGCCACCTGTAGCCAGTGTCCCCACCTCACAGGGGGGAGCCGAGGCCCACAGAGCCAGCAAGCTGCAGTGACAGCAGGGCTTGAGGCAGGGCGGCGAGCCTGGGTGTCCCGGCCACCCCCCAGGACACTCCCGGGGTCCTCAGGAAGGACGGCCCTCCGCTCTCCCGGCGCTGCCAGAGGTTCCGATGGACCTGGTAGCGTGGTCTCACGACAAGAACCCCGGAAGGGAGCGCTAGCGTGCTCGCCTGGTGGCCTGAGTGTTGTCTCTGCTGGGCCCTGGGGAGGCGCTGCCGTGGCGGAGGGGCGCGAGGGGCGGGGTGAGCCCAGCACCCGCCAGGTGGCCGTAACCTTTCCCTGTTTTGTTTCCTTCCCAGATAGACAGAAACCAGAGGTGACGCCCACTCCATCCGCAAGAAAAGGTGTCAGCACCTCGGCCTCGCCACCCCCCGTTCCCAGCACCCCCTTGATATTTTTAGTACAAAAAAACAAAACTAGGAAGTGTTTGGTCTAGTGTCTTTGTACAGAGGCCTGAGGGAGGAGGCCTCAGATCTGAGCCTTGAGTGTAAACTTAGGTGGGCCTCCCACCCCTCTGTATCCCCAAAACCTCGGCGGCCCCGTCTCCTCCCCACTCCCTGGTTGTTTTCCAGCCAAAAAAAAAAGTTTAAAGACTTTAAAAGTCTTAAAATCTCAGCTGGATGCTTCCAAAAGAGCCAAGAACGAGGTGCTGGCCTTCAGCAGACAGCAGGGGCCCCCTCACCACAGAAGGCTGGTGGGGCACGGAGCCCCGGGAGCCCCAGGGAGGCACCCACCCGCCACCCTTACCCCTCCCACACACGCCTGCAGTGAGCACAGGGGACTGTTTTGCTTCAATTTTTATTTGAAAAACGTATTTAAAAGTTCAACAAAGTTTGAATATAAATTATGACTCAAGCCTACCCCACTTGTGTTGCAGCGAGGACGGCGCTGGAGGGCGGCGCGGGAGTGGGGGAGGCCCGGGGGCCCCGAGCAGCCTGCGGGGCTGGCTGGGCCCGGCCGAGGCAGCCGCGCCGGGCCCTGGGTCCCCAGGGCGGGCGGGGAGTCCCACTGCCGGCCCCCACTCCCTGCACCCCGGAGGGGCCTGTCCCAGAGCAAGGAGACCCGCGGGGCAGGCCAGCGCTCCAGCACCGCTCTGCCGCCCGGTCCCCTGCGAGGGCCGGGGCGAGAAACACCTGAGAGAAACCAGCGCCGCCTGCCCCAGAGAGCGGGTCCGCGGGGCGGGAAGGCCGGTGTTCACAGCCTGCCCGTGTCTGGCTGCGGGACAGGGCACCGAGTTTGAAATCCGCGGAGCTGGGGTGTCCCCAGCTCTCATGCTCTTCTCCCCCCACCCCACCTCCACGTGGCAGAGACCCCTCCCCGGAGGGGAAGCACCTGTCTCCGCAGACAGCCCAGGCGGGCGCCGCAGGGTGAGGAGCCCCGTCCCGTGAGGAACAGCTCGCTGCGAACAGCCGGAAACCAGGAGAGGCCTAGGGCAGGCGCACTCGAGGGCGGGTGACGTCTGACAGTGACGGGGACCCTGCTTGGTTGTCAGAACCGGGGAGCTACCAAGCACCCTAAAAGGCACTGCCGGCGTCCACTGCGAAGCACCCGCCAGAGGTTGCCCCAAGCACGAGCGCCCTGCTGGCCGGGGCCCCGGGGCCCTAAAGGCGCGGGCAGCTGCTCTCACTGGCTGCCCCAGCTTCGCGGGGTTGCCCCAGAGTCTGTTCCTCTCCCGGGGCCAGCAGGGGCCAGCAGGGGCCAGTGGCGGGTGCAGTGGAATGTCATCAGGTTACAACCCACCACTCAGCCCCTACTGAGGGGCAAAAATGCGGCTCCAACAGGCTGGTGCTGAGGGAAGAGGTAGTGGCAGGCCGGGTAATTACGAGAGCGCGTCTTAAACGACATGTTTAATTAAGTTAAAAAAGGGACGGATGCTGCGGCCTACGACGCTACAGGAACACTGGATCGGAGGCCCAGCTGGCGGAGCTGGTCCTGGCAGGCACGGGGGGCTCGGCTGCAAGGCCCGAGCTCCGAAGAGGACCAGCCGGGCCGTGCTCGCCTCTGTTCACTCCTGGGGGGCGGGGGGAGCGGGGGGGCGTCGCCACAAAGCGAGAGGCGCCTGGGCCCCCCCGCTGCCCCGCTTCGGGCGAGCGTCTAAACACAGATGGCACCGAGACCGTCATTCAGGAGCGGGGACTTTCCGGCTCCCCAGAAAACTCCTATCTCAGATCCGAGCGTGTCCAGGGCTTTCCGAGCTCCCCTGGCCACCAGTAGTCACGCGGTCAGTCCTGCTGCCTTGACCCGTCTCCAGGAGGGGCTCGCCAGAGGGAGTGAGGGAGTCCAGCCCCCAAACCTTCTGGGGCACTATCAGCGTCAGGCAGGGAGGCTGAGGGCCTGGGTCCGGTTCTGGGGTGGGCAGGGGCAGCATCTCTTCCGGGCTGGACAGAGCGGCGGCTCCAGACAGCAGAGCCTGGACGTCAAAGGAGAAAAGGGAGATGAGCCCAGAAGAGCCGAGCTCCGGCCCAGGGCTCTCCGTTCCGGCCCCGCCCTCGTGCACCCGTGGCCAGGACCCGTCCATGCCAATCCTCCCCGTCAGGACCCCAGCGCCTCGGGGGCGGGGGGCTCTCCTCACCCTCCATCCTGTCGGACTACAAGCCCCGAGAGCTGCTCCACGGCCTGTCCCGGCTCCCCTTGGACCTCATCTGCTCCTGGACCGCGCCCGTCTGTGGAAGAGCACACGTGAGCCCCCCAGCACCCGCGCGGGGC